TGGGGGAGTCTTTTGGTACACGATCATGACTCGTGCCCGAGCCTACATCCGAACCTAACCCTCTCAACTAGGTTGCATAATGGGCTTGTACAATTGATCCATTTATTTTGGCCCAAATCAATTTGATCCAAACCGACCAAATCGGTCAATACTGAACAGAGCCAAACTGAACTAAATTGAATCGAGACGAGCTGAGGCAAGTCGTTGACCAACATTGACTTTGACCATTGATTGGTGTTGATTTTTTTTCGAAAACCTCTACCCTGACGTTTGTCGACATCCGGAGTCCGATTTTCAGTCATTTTCATCAAATTCTAACTCAAAAACCTTGAAATAAGCCTATTAACTTGAAAGTATATTTATGACTTTAGTACTTTAACTTGATTAATAGGCTTTGAATATATAACAAATATAAGAGTGTATTTTTATGAAGATATTCGTGTTTCACTTGATCGAGTATCGATTAGATTCGATGCTTTCAGACCAGCAGGTCCACATAATTTGCGCACTTCGAGAGTTACTAGTAGGTTTTCATAAATTAATTAAGTAAAGTTTATAATTCATTTTATTATGATAGTAATTTAATTTCCTATTGTACATAGGCTCTAGTAGTGTCGCAGATTGATTTACATTACCATTATGATTTAATTAACAGAATCACTATGAAATTATGATGGTATAGTATATTTTAATGGCATGATCTCTTGTTTTCTGTATATTTTTGTATAATCTCTTGTTTACCGTAAATTTTTGGCATGATCTATGGTTATCGTATTTGAAATATGATTTTAGATATCAAATTCTTTTCATGATTTAATAAATTAAACTTTCATTTTCACTTAAATACATGCATATTTATTATTTTCATTGGGGGAAATTATCGAAGGTAATATCTTAGGCTTAGTCTAGAACTTGTAAGATCTTACTGCAAGCTTCTTTGCTTTATGCACAGGACAAGTCCTTACCGCATGTCTTTATGCTAAATGCACCGAATATACAAATGGGTGTATGGTTTATGGGAACCTCACATTTTTTATGTTCCGTTGAAAGCAGTGAACATATTTTTAAAAGGTGTTTTAGATAAACTATTGCTGATGTTTTTAATATTTGTATGTTTGTATACACTGGTAAGAACACACTGAGCTTTTTAGCTCACTCTATAATTTTATCATTTTCAAATTTTATTAGATAGTAGACTATTAAACTTGACTTCAGGAGGATCCATTATTTCTCACTTTTGTATCACTGTACATTTTTATATTCCATTTTTATTATATTTTGGAGACACAAGTTTTTACTGCTATCTCTGTATAACTATATCATCGATATTTTATATTTGATATGTTTATATACGACTATATAGCTGTGGACTTTACTTAATGGATATTTATATGATATAATATATATGTTTATATATAATTATTATCACATGTTTTAAATTTGTTTAAAACGATAAATATTTTTAGGATATGATATGTGCCTAACTAGATCTGATCGTAACGTCTAGGTCGGGTCTACGAGATTACAATAATGTGATTTAGAAAATCGATTTTCAGATTATTTCAAAAACTATGACATAATCAAAAATTTTCATATTGGACCTTTGTTTGTTAAATAAATATTAAATTCGTTTTGACAAATCCTAAATCGAATCATAATCCTACCTAGAGGGGAGGGGAATGGGATACTCTAGGGGAAGGAAGAAAAGTGCTACTAGTGGATCTAGAATCCATAACCTAAGAGAATATGAGGGAAGAAAGAAGAGCAACTTAGTCAACTGACCAAATATTCTTGCTCAAAAATATTAAATTCTTTAAAATTACTAATTACTTTTATTTCAGTTAAACGAATATACATGTATATATATTATTAATGTTATGGATTATAGAAAATGTATTTTAAATTAATATATTCGATACAGTTTGATCAGAAAATTTACTTTTGATCTTTGGTTATGATGGAAATATTAAATTTGAATATTGTATTTATTTTGATATGACTTAATTGAAGCAATAAGTTGTTAAACTGATACCAATTATAAACAATATTTTATTTTAAATATATGTAGAATGTTATGTGTGTGTAATTTAGGTTATGTTAATATTGATCGACCCAAAAGAAGATTAATATAGTTGATATAATTACATCTGCAACTTTAGTACTAAGCATGTGATAATTATTTGGTTTGATAAGCGAATAATAAATCGACCTAAAAGAAGATTTTTGCTCTACATGTTCTTATAATCAATGTTTGATTGTCACACCAGATATCACTTAAAAGTGAATATTTTGTCCAAAAATGAAATATTAAAGGGGTATTTGATATCTTGAGATAATGTTTTCCTTTATTCAAAATTATTATTATTTTGGTTATATTTTAATTTAATGAAAAGAAAAAGTTAAGAGAAATTTGATTTGTTGATAATATTTATATGATTTTATATTTTGTTAATGCAATATATGAAATGTTCATATATTTGCTTCAGTTCGATCAAATTGAAATTTTGATCGTTGGTTATTAGAATATATATATATATATATTAAAATAAAATAATTTATATTTTATTTATGCCTAATATTTTAATAGGTTAGTTAAAATAAAATGTCATTAAAGCTAGTTTTTGTGTAGATTAATTTATTTAAAATAACAAGATGATTTTTTTATTGATTCATGTGTTTGTTAATTGATTTGTTTATTAATTGGCGAAAAGATAAATTAATATTTGACAGGATATCAAATGACACTTGTGGTAATAAATGTGTAACAATTTTAAGGTATTTTGCGTGAGCATTACATTAGTTCAAAGATTAATCCATTGTTCGACATATTTTATTGTCAATATTTGATTATTACAACAACAATATTATTTACTATTAATATTATTATCCATAGACTTGATATTAATGTATAGCTTGGTATCTTGAGATGAGAATTATCTATTATTTTTTAATTTACTTGTTATCTGTGAATATTAATATGAGTTTAATTTTATTTTTGTTTTACTTTATATTTAGCTAATTCATCTCTTTTGTCATCATAATATTTACTAATGTACATTCTATACTCATGATTAGAAAACTGAAATTTACGAAACGAAAATTACAATTACATAAAATTTTAATTGTATGAACATAAGTCTTGCACGAAAGAAATAATAATTTATACCATTCATAAGGAATAGCGTCTTTATTTGGAGCGAATATTGTACATCTTATAATAAAAAATATTTAATAAGATCCACTAGAAATCACATTATACTTATGGGCCTTTCGTTTTGCTTGAAGGGAGAAAATCCGTTGAAGACTGCTTTATGTTGGAAATATGGACTGCAAAAGCACACCGTTAGTATTGATAAAAAAGGTAAATAGTAATTTAAAATAAATAAATTTGTAAATCGTATCGTGGTAAAATCACTGTCTTAGAAACGAATTCACCTGATGTGTGTAATTGTTATAGTAGGCGGATCGTCCCCCGAGATTAACAAGGTCGCTCCAAATTTTATACACCCGAAACCGGAGTGGATTGCTAGTGGTATTGCACTTCTGATCGGAAAGCACAAAGAGAACAACTTTAGAAAATACTTGAAGAGTGAATTATGAATGTAGAGAGTGGGTTGAGAAGTTGAATCCAACTATCTATTTATAGACTAGAAATAGGGTTAAAATCATCCATAAAAAATCATTATTAAAACCCTTCACTGTAACAGCTGAAACGTCCAGATGAACCTGTCCAGGTTTATTGCATCATTATTCAGCTATTTTAATTCCTGAAATTAAATTATATAACTCATGTAACTCCTGATATTAACATCTTTTCTCCTTTGTACAAAACTGGAAATCATTATTCTAGAAGTTGTAAAATATTGTTGACGAAGAACGAAAGAAAGAACAAAGTTATTCTCTTCAGACCATTTTAAAGGTTTCAAAGTTGCGTTGATTCCTCACTTATTCTCTTCAGACCATTTTTTGGCAAAAGTACACAAATAGTCCTTCTACTATGTGATACTATTTTTTTAAGTTTACCGACTATTAAAAGTTACAAAATGATCCCTCAATCTATAGGGTATTGCTTTTCTGAGTCTCTCGACTATTAAAATTTACAAAATGATCACCTGACTATTCATGTGTTCCAAGCTCGTCCTTTTCTATTAAAAAATTGATGGTTGTCTTAGTTAGATGTTAACCTGCTAACTGGGATATGATAGTCGTTTGAAATTATGAGATTAAATTTTATCATATTCAAATAAACAGGTTAACGTCCATCTCAGACTTCCACAAATTATTTAACATAAAAGGACGAGTTTGAAACAAATAAATAGTCAGTTGACTATTTTGTAACTTTTAATAATCGAGAGATTCAATAAAACAGTACTATATAATTGGAAGATCATTTTGTAACCTTTAATAGTCGGTGACTCAACCAAACATCAACATATAGTCAAGAGACCATTTGTGGGCTTTACTTTTTTTTATACAATGGTAAGTTAACCGTCTTTCAAAATGTTGACATTAAATTGAATTAGTTTATAGATGAGTGCAAAAACGTGTCTAAATTTGACCGGTGGAGCATAAAGATTGGCAGACAAATTATATTATTATAAATTTCTCTGATCAAATGGTTGTCCCTTGTTCCCATATGTAATGGGATAAGGGGAAGGTAAGATAGTAGGCTGTCCCCAACACTAGGTTGTGAGCAGGTTCCGTAAACTTTTCAGAAATTCTAATTAATTTTAATCTCCGCAATAGCAGAAGAAGGAATATAAGATAAGAACATATATACCAACTTCATAAATAAATTAATTAAAATGTAAAAAAAAGCAACAATATAAACAAGACGAGTCAAAAAAGGAATTACATCTATAACAAGACGAAGGCAAATATGTGGTTGGCATTCGTTTTAGTTGAAAGCAAAGCGACCAAAGGCCTTCGTCCGGGTGGTCATGCTACTGCTTTCATTTTCGGGGATTCTTCGGCTTCGTGATCGCTCATTTCTCCTCGTTTTCTTTCTTAAAAATTTTCAGACGGGAATCTGCTTTGTCCTTTTTTTCCCTTTCGTTATCTTTTTTGTTCATTGGATTTGTTTAAAAATCGAAATGAGAAAGGATAGGAGGCTAAATATGAAGGGAAGAGTGTCGAGGATTGGAAGCTATGCGATTGCTTCTTCCATGAAGGATCATACTTACGAACCTTGCATTACCTGCACCACTTTTAACATCCTTGCCCCCATTTACAAGCGCCTTTCTCATAAGGTTTACTTCTTTTTCTTTTTCTAATATCATATTCGACTACCTTTATATTTGGCAAATTTTGACAAATTTGATGGAATAATATATGATGAAGTGAACAGTGGATGGGAGAACATACTTAGATCCCTGGCATCTTTGGGAAGTCGGGGGTAAGACATAACGTCTTCTGGGTTGATATGTTGTTAAGATTGCCATTCACACTACATAAAGCCTAGGGAAGACATCGTGTCTTCCTGGCATTTTCCCAAAGACGTCAGATGATCAGAACGAATTCTCCCATATATTGTTTATTCTTTCTCATAGTCTCACATTATCTAAGGAAATTTGCCCTTCATCATTTGTTGTGCATTAATTGAATGGATACAGGACCAGAATTGCCGTGAGAGCGATTATAGGGCATATTGGTTGGCCAGGAATCAACGAATATTGGATTCTTTATTATACGAGAGATCTTCAATTATTTGTCTGCAGGTATTGGTTTAGTTTCAAACACTTCCATTCCAATATTATTGATTGCTTCTTCTTTCATGATTCTAATTTGCATTTCTGTAGGAATTCTGGGTTGGGAACGAAGAACTTGTAAATATGTACGAGAAGAGGCTTGGTGATGCAGGTTACCTTAATTTCAAGCTTGGACGTACCAACAACCGGGCTGATGGTAAGTTTCACTTTTTCTTTCCTTTTTTTTATATCAAATTTAACTGAAACACGAACCAAACAATCTCACTGATTAAATGATTTGTTGTCATGTCTAAAGTTCTAGGTTTGAGCATCGCGTATGTAAGGAGTATGGGCGTTAATTTTCAAATTGTTGAAAGTTTTTTAACTGATACTACTTAGTATTTACCCTCAAATTTATATAAAAAAAATAAATATATTAAAATTTTCTTCAGGCTCTCAATACGCAGCCCCAGGCATATTGGTCATAACTCGTGTTCTTCCCCCTAACGTCTTGATGTGGTGCATGTATATAGAACGTGATACTTTGGTGAAGGAAAAGTGGGGAATCAAAGTTAAGGAAAATAAATGCCACCGTTCAACATTCCAACAAGATAAACAGAAATAGTTTTTTTCCCCTCTCAATTCTTCAAGGATTTATCCTGATTAATCCGATTCATGTCGTACATATAGTTTTAGTAGATGAGACTCTCAGTAAGAATATTTTGCATACACAAGACTTCGAACTTAAGACCTGCTTAAGCGACATCAAGTTGATTATCACTTAAATCAATCCTGTTAGTTAAGAAAGTGAACGTTCGATAGAGTTAGGTTAAATATTTTTTAGTTATTCGAGTAAAGGAATCATATTTTATAACTCAAATTTTATTTGAAATTTTTTTCGAGTCGAGTTATTCGAGTTTCTGTTTAAATTTAATTTTAAATATTTATAATGGCATGCTACTATTTGATTCCAATTTAAACCGTTTCTATAACCATATACAATATATATATATATATATATATATATATATATATATTCTTCATATTCTTTCATATGTGATATATATATATATAATATGCAGTTGAGCGACTCAACGTAAACTTAAAAATCAATCCGTTAAACAGTAAGAATTTCGAGTTATTCGAGTTATATTTTATAATTTGGGTTTTTGGGGAGAGGCCACCTTACACAAATGAAGCAAGTTGAGGTTACTTTCTCCCTTTCTTTTTTTCTTTTTACAAAAAGATTAAGCACATACGTAGTCCATTTTTCTTCCCTCTAGACTAGTTCTGTTGATTCCTTCTAACTTGACCTCATTTCTATTGGAGACATCAGGTCTGTTGACTGCAGTGCACAAGAACTATTTAAGAGTTATTAATTTTTTTCGATATTTATTATTAGAGTACTTATTCCATCGGTCGTTTCGTGCCACTAAAATCTCATAAGGTGTGGTTCTGTTGATTTCTTCTAACTTGATCTTATTTCTATTGGAGACAATAGGTCTGTTGACGGCTGTGCACAAGGACTATTTAAGAGTTATTAATTACAGGGAACTGCATTTCAATGATTGTGGAGACCGAGTTGCACAGCTGCTACATGTTGAGTTAGCTACTCCTGCTTCACAACGCCGAAACAATGATCCTTGCCAAGATATTCTCATTGTCAACACCCATTTGCTTTTTCCTCACGATTCAAGTTTGTGTATAGTTCGGTTGCACCAGGTGAAAGAACCTCGCTGTCCTTCTTTATAGCTAAGCTCATTTTTTTCATTAATTCCTTTTCTTATCATTGTTATATACTACCGATTCTTCTGGCAGGTGTACAAAATATTGCAGTATGTTGAATCTTATCAGAAGGAGTATAACCTTAATCCTTTGCCAATTATGCTTTGCGGGTGAATATATATGATTCATTTCTTAGTTGAAGCAAACATTCATATCTTGCCCTTGTAGAGCAATACTAATTTGGGTCCTCGACTATAGGGTGCTTTGTTCTAACTATGAAAAATTATAAAATTATCCATCGACTATAGGATGTTGTTTTATTGAGACTTACGGTTATTAAAAGTTACAAAATGATCACCTGATTATTCATATATTTCAAATTCGTCATTTTCTGTTAAAAAATTGGCATTCGACTAAGCTGGACATTAGCCCGTTGAATTAAGTTATGTTAAAATCATATTTTAATAATATATACTGGCATTGTCATTGCTTCAAGCATTGGCTCAACGATATAATTTTTCAAACATTGGCTTGACAACATAATGTAAGCGGAGAGTCGATCCATAAAATACAACTCAAATGGTTTTGTGATCAGATGTTATCATATCTCAGTTAACAAGTTAATGTTCAGCTCAGACAACTATCAATTTTTTAACAGAAAAGGACAAAATTGAAACATATAAATAGTCGGATGACCATTTTATAACTTTTAATAGTCATAGGACTCAACAAAGTGACATCCTATAGTCGAGAGACTATTTTGTAACTTTTAATAGTCGATGACTCAACAAAACAGTGTCATATAATTAGAGGACCATTTATGTATTTTACCCTACTAATTTTCCTTTCTTGTTCATTTCGTATAGTGACTGGAATGGGAGCAAACGCGGCCATGTTTACAAGTTCCTTAGGTCCCAAGGCTTTGTATCATCATCATATGATACTGCGCATAGATACACCGATGCAGATGCACATAAGGTGAATATTTTTGCTCCCTAGTAGTACTCTAATCTCATTAATATCTGGTATAATAATAAAGGCATAATGTCAAAAATAATCCTCAACGTTTATCGAAATGGTCATTTTGGCCCTTATTTTTATTTTTGGAGCATTTTAGCCCTCAACATTTCACTTTAGGGGGAAAAACTCCCTATATAGATGAAAATCATTAGTTAACACACGATTAACGCTCCAAAATAAGAGCTTTTTTAACCCTGAATGAAACGTTCAAGGCTAAAATGCCCCAGCAAAAAAATAAGGGATAAAGTGATTATTCTGTCAAATATTAGGGATCTTTTTGCCGTAAAATCATACTTTTTTGGAGCATTTTGGCCCCTAATATTTCATTTTAGGGCAAAAAGTCCCCTTACATCTGATAGGTTAATCACTTTCTCCTTATTCTTTTTTGAGACATTTTAGTCCTCACTGTTTCATTTTAGGTTAAAAAAGACTTTTATTTTGGAGCGTTAATCGTGTGTTAACTAATAGTTTTCATCTATAGAGAGAATTTTTTACTCCAAAGTGAAATGTTGGGGTCAAAATGTTCCAAAAAAGAATAGGGGCCAAAATGACCATTTTGGTAAAAATTGGGGGCTATTTTTGGTATTATTCCAAAACTTTGAGTTAAATGTCTAGTAACTCTCTGACACCTTCTGTATTTTAAGAACAGTGGGTTAGCCACCTTAATCATCGGGGAAATATATGCGGTGTGGATTTCATATGGCTCCTTAATCCCAATAGTTATCGGAAACTACTGAAAACAAGTTGGACTGAAGCAGTATTTGGCATGTTCAAGGTCAGAAGCTTGACATTGTTTCTCAATTTACTCGTCCATTTTATTTTCCTCCCTGTAAGTATGTGTTTTTACAGACTCGGTAATTGCTTATTTTTGTTGGTTCGTTCATTTTAATCTGGAATGATAAAAAAATCTACCTGATGTGGCATCTTGTTACTGTTTCCATGAATCCAGTAAAGCAAACATCCTTTGGAACATTTTTAATCTGACGGTGCAAAGATCTATTACAGAACCAACTAAGGAAAGCTTCATTGACAGAAGATAATGCGTTTGCTTTTCTTAAGGCTGCCAATGATGGTGATTATATTACCTACTCGGGTTTATGTGAAGCTCTTAGGCAGGTAATACAACTTTCCTCCGACTTATATCTTTCTATTTTAGTTTAATTATAAAACAAGTATCCAAACTATAGCGATTTTCACGAATAGATGCCTACAATAGTTTTTGAAGATCCCGGTATTTAACGTTACAAACGTTACTACTTTAGGTGTATAGGCTGTACAACAGTTAATTTTCTCGATTAAGTGACACTTGTCACATTATAGTAATTTTAAAATTTTTATTTAAAATTAAAAAATTAAAATTATATATTTTAAAAAAACACAAAAAATTTTGAGATAGTCTCAAAATTTGAAAACCTTTAATTCAACCTCTAAACTCATGTTGGTCGCCACCTTTTGCCATCGACAAAGATCCACCCGACGTCACCTACCCCGGCGATCAATACCCCTGTGAAATCACAACTGATCGATGATTGATCAACGACTAATCGACGTTTTGTACCCCACAAACACTAGGATGAAAATTACAATCCCATGCGATTCCAACGATCAATTGGCGGCAACTACGGTGGTGTATGACATGGAGGATGACAAGGACTAAGTCAGCGGTGGTGGTCGTGGTCGGAAAGGGCGACGGTGGGGGGTTAGGAGTAGGATTTAAGATTTTTATAAATTTGAGGTTTTTTTAAAATTTAAGAGAAATTATGGTTTTTTTATAAATATAATGATATTTTTTATTTAAAAAATCAAAATTACTAAAATATGCCATATGTCACTTAAGGGAGAAAACTAACGACATTTACGGCTTGGGTACCTAAAGTGGTAACGTTTGTAATGTTAGGCACCAAGATTATTCAAAAAATATTGTAAGCACCTATTCGTGAAAAATAGTATAGTTTGAGCACTTATTTTATAATTAAGCCTTCCATTTTCCTACATCTTGCAGCTTAGTACGAGAACATAACTCGTGCATCGTCCCATCTTTCTGCAGTTCAACATAATAGGTCATCGGCACGGACTAAGCGTTGAAGAGACGAAGGACTTGTGGGTTCAAGCAGATATTGATGGAAACGGTGTTGTTGACTATAAAGAATTTCAGGTAACTCTTACATGAACCTTTGTCTCTGGTGTTGTGTATGACTGTATGTTATGTATATACATTGAATAACAGGCATTGCCTACACAAATTGCTATGAACTCCATTAGATTTTTCATATATAATGCTAATGCCATCGAGTAATCGCTTTGCAGCAACGAATCTGGAAGCCTACATGGTCGGAGTCGAGAGACGGAGACGGTAAAGAAGGCAAGGATAGGGGCCATAAGATAGGTGAAAAACATAGTAGAAAGAAGCAAGCTATTGGTTTTAGTGTGAAGAATGCAGTGTTGTTCCCTCCGGAAGTGGAAAAGGGAATGTGGCCTGAAAATTATTTTCTCTCCGATCACGCCCGACTTACGGTGGTGTTCTCGCCGATACAAATGCCTTATTCACAGTTAACATCATGACCAAAATCTGAGATTCGAAGTAGAAGAACATGTACCCTCTCATACTATGAAGCAGGGGAGTCCTCTCCAGTGCCAACCATCTCAGGAACATGAGATTTAAGGGCTTATGCCATTTCGTGAGTCATTTTTCATCAAAGTAGACAGGTCACATGTAGCAATCAGTCATGGTGAGTTCAGCATTTTAGAATAGAGCAGCAGGCAATTGCAACTGCGCAGTTATGTAATACTAGCCTAGAGCTAGACTAACATTTAAAAACATCATAATCACACGAACTAAGTGACCTCGGTGGTAAAATGATTGTTGTTATTCGTTGAGGACTTAGGTTCGAGCATCGGAAATGTTAGAGGTATGAGGGTTCAATTCAAAGGGTTGAGAAAATATTTGAAAATATACTACCTTATACTTATCCCAAATTAATCAGAGAAAATAAAAACATCATAATCCGTAGAGGGAAATCTCCATAAGATGAAGGGATTTTTATTTTCTAGTGAATCACTTTGCTGATGGATTATATAATAAACTCATAATAGGAGTGACAATATAAAAAAAAAAAAATGTATGTATTTTTTTTTCTTATTTATGACAGTTGCACCAGCTATATAATGATACATAGTCAATGAAAATTATTCATTTTATTAAAAATTTTTAATATTTTCTTTTGCTTTTTTTAAATATTTTACCGAGCCAATTCATTCATTATGAAAAAGAACATTATTTTTTTTAAAAAAATTATGGAGATGATATTATTTTATTAACATTACTATTTTTTTACATACATTAATTGATCTCTTTTAACTTAAGAATTTGAGAAAAGTGATTCATACTAGGGATGGGTTTTAAGAACATTTGGTTGAAGAATACATGATAAATATCCAACTTAGTCTTTTATGTTTGATGTGATTAAACAAAGTCATGTAAAGACTCATAATATACATCCTTACATGTCCCTATGGAGAAAGTGTACATGCCTAAGGTTGAACTTTTTGCTCTTAATGAATTCATAGCCCATATTTTGAGTGATTCTACTGAGAAGAACTTGATGAAACCATTGACGTGAAATGACGAGCTTTAACTCTTAATAAATTCATAGCTCAAAATTTGGGTGATCTTTGTTGAGACGGATTTGATGAATTCATCGAATCGATAAGATGCAGTGTTTTATGTTCTTGATGAATTCATATCACATGCTTTGGGTGCTCATACTAAGATAGACTTGATAATATTACCAACGTAAATGTGAAGGATTAACCACATTATATGAAAATTTTGGGCCATCTTTCTAGAGTACTTATGAACATCCCAATGTATTATTTGGCAAAAGTACTGAACTATCGCGAAACTCAAATAGATTTGAGATTAATTGTGTGTTATGAGTTACTCTTTATCTTAACAAGTTCAAGATTAGTTCACTTATTAAAGAATTACTTATTACACTATGTATACTATTGCTTAAGCAACTAATTTCGCCATTACTTTTTTTTCTCTAACTCCTTCCTTTTGCTGATCACATACTTCTTTATATTAGGTGGGGATTGTTAGTAGAATCGTGTAATGTAAAGAAGTTGTGTAGACACCCATTTTTGATCGAGATTAAAAATATATATATATTATTTTTATTATTAATAAAATTTTAATACATATTTGCAGGCCCAATAATTCAACAGCCCATTACAAAGTGCCAGTCCAACACCAAACAACAGGATCCGACCCAAGATCCGACTGACCCAAACCTCTTAGGGTTTCATGTTCCCTACCCTAGCACCACCCAATGCCATCCGTTGGATCTAGACCCAAATCAATGGTCCAGATCCAAATCCACATAGGGTTTGAAACCCTAAACTACCACCATCGCCGCAACAATGCCAGCCTTCTCCAACTATCGCAACAGTAAACGCCGAGCACTCTGCAAGCATCCAAAGTTATGATCGTCACTGCTTGTGTCATACAACAACCGAAATCAAGCAAAAAAAATTAATCCACCACAAAATCCACTGAGCATATTATTTTATCAAGCCAAATCTTGAAAAATTCGGTGTTGATATCTACTCTACCACTACTCGGAAAAATCAGTGGAAAACACACCAACAAAATCACTATAAATAGATGCAGAGATTCGAACAGAGGGGGGGATTTGGAACAAAAAGAAAAAAAAGGAAGCATTTCGAAGGAGGAAAACTTACAGTGGAGATCAGGAAGCCTTAAAGCTGGTCGTGGAAGCTCGAACGTCAACAGGTTCTTCATTTTTTTTGGTAGTCCCTTAGATCTACGGTTTTGGGTTGAGTTTTAGACTAAAGGGAGGCTAGATTCGTGTTAAGGGTAAGGAGAGGAATATATCGGTGGCTTTTAGTTACCTCTGGACGCCGGCACCGCCATGCTCCGCCGCTCGCCACTGCGAGCTCTGCCGTGGTTTCTTTTCCCGGTGAGGGAAGAGTTGAGAGAGTTTTAACTCTCTATCTCTTTTATTTATGACAAAATGAGAAAATGAGGGTTGAAGAAATAAAGCCTATTTTGGGACTTAAATACACCGTACAGAACGACGTAGTTTTAACAAAGGGCCACTCTGTAATTTCACGCATGGGATATTCACAAATAAGGTCGTTCTTAATTTGTAATTTTCTATTATGATCATTAGTATGACTTTTAATTCGAGCTCCTATTTAATTTATTTTACATTTTAGTCATATTTTTATATGTTACGTATTATTATAAATATTTAACATTGGTCACTATATGTTTAATTATTATATTATAGTCACTGACCGTATATTATATTTTATATTTAAATTTGGTCTTAAAATTTATTATTCTTTTGTTTTTAGTCACCTACTTATTTAATTTGTTAGTCTTTGTTATTTTATGTTGTAAATTAGTATTTTAAATTAATTTAAATATATATAACATTAATTTAAATTTATTTGATTTCGTTCTAAACATATAAAGTAGTTTCAATTGTATTTACTTTTTATATATATTATAAAAACTTTAATATTATTTAATTTATTATATAAATTAGTTTATTTATTACTTATTATATTTTCAAAATATTATGTATTCATATATATATTACTATTCTAATTTTAAAAAATATTATTTTATTAATTTTGATGTTATTTATTCGAATATGTTTCGAGAACATATTTAAATAATAAATTCAAAATAAATTAATCATATTTTAATAAATGGATTGTATTTTAACCTTATATTTAATTTGTAATTTCTACATTTACGACAACGTGTAAGCGACACAATATCAATTTTGGGCGTTGTGGGGATTCTAATCCTTCTCCACGCTTAACCGATTTCCGAACCCGTTTTAATCGAATTTTTTGTAAACACAGACCAATTTTTGTCTTAAAAAATGATTTTTCTTAAAATTGTTTTTAAAAGATGCTTTTAGGTATTCGACCTACCTAAATCAAAGGTTGACGACGACTCTTTTCGATTTAATCCAAAATAACCTATTTTCCAAAATAAAAAGTCGTAACTGTTTTTAAACAACAACAAAATTGTTTTCAAGCCTAAAAATGGTTATGACAGCTTGGCGACTCCGTTGGGGACGTTTTTTAAGAGTCAGTCTGTTAGTCGCTTACACATTGTCATGTGGTGGAAATTATGAGTTCAAGTCTGTAGTTAACTTATGATCCTTTTATTGAAGTTTTTCATTGTTTCATTTTTTTTGTCTTACTAACATTTTTATTTTTGTTTTCAGATTTGTCTAAGTTTTGTCGAGTGGTTTCATTTTCCTTTTGAGTCAAAGGGTTGAATGTTCCTCCTCACACACATCACGGTCATTTGCATACCATAAGCTCATTTATGAGCTTTATCCCTTTTAAGTTGAGATGAAAGCTTAGCCTATGTGAGATAATTTGTTTCTCTGCATGATTTTTAGCAAGTAATCTTTGGGGTTCATATACCTTATGTCTACCACTACAGCAAAACAGAGTTTTAGCGGCGTTTTTTTAGTCTTATAGCGGCGTTTTTAAGCGCCGCTAAAAGTATTTACGGCGACAGGAAAAACGCCGCAAGAAGCGCCGGCAATACCAACGCCGCTAAAGTTAGCGGCGTTTGAGAACAAAAAACGCTGTAATAGGTTAATATCTATTACGATGTTTTTTGAACAAACGCCGCAAAAGGTCGATATCTATAACGGCGTTTTTGGAATAAACGCCGCAAAAAGTTATGATATATAGCGGCGTTTCTAGAAAAAAACGCCGCAAAAAGTCAGATCTATAGCGGCGTTTTTGGATACAAACGTCGCAAAAGAGAAGACCTATACTGGCATTTTTAGAATAAACGCCGTTATAGGTCTAACCTTTTGCGGCGTTTTTAGACACAAACGCCGCAAAAGGTTAGGCCTATAACGGCGTTTTAAACACAAACGCCGCAAAAAGTCAGACCTATAGCGGCGTTTTTGGATACAAACGTCGCTAATTACCTTTCTTTAGCTAATATTAATTGATTTTGCATATTTTATTTCTGCTATACATCACCTAAATTTATATCTAGCTTTATCTAATTAACAACAACCATACATTTTAATTAAGACAAAAAACATAAAGAAAAATACTTAAGAACAAAATAAATTAAAGTTTTTTTATGGAGAGAGAACCTTAAAAGACATTAAAGTACAAATGAGTTACAACTGAACCTCAAAGTGTAGATATACATGGATTTGTTGTTCGATACATCCTCAATTTCACTAGCGTCATCATCATAACCTCCAGATATGCCTTCTAAAGCTACTTTGTTTCACACTTCATTGGAATTTGTCATATTCATCGTCTTGAAATCTTATTTGAAAGTATTATTTGACAGTGAATGATCTCTCCTCAATAGATTAAAAACAAATGGGAAACGCTGTGCCAGTCTATTGAAGAAGCCGCTTTTTGTTGAAGTTTGTTCTTCAAGATTACTGCAATTACAATAATTTAGATGAGACTAAGAAGAGAAGGAAACAACCAGCAGAACTTGCATTCATAACATACATGTGAGTGATTGAGAACTGAAAAAAGATGTTGCAACAAACAACAAAACAGGAAGTCAGGAACCATGAAAACTAAAATATATTCTACATAAGAATG